CTCATACTTACGTCGCTGTTGTCAGCAAGGGGGTTCATGCTTTCTTTCTTAGGTTATTTACGGCTAAGTGACGACTGCAACAAAGTCTGATGTTCTTTTCGCATGAATAAATAGAATTTCAGCTTCTTCAGAAAGATGAAAAGCGAGTGATATGACCGGAGCTCGAACGCATGTCCTTTCAACTGTGGGTCAACGCTTTACAAACACTCAGAGTCACACAGTCTGCCATCTCTGACGGCTAACAGAAAGAACTTTATTTAATGCATATGGCCAAGAGCAATTTTTTATTCAAAGGGACATTCATCTCGTGTGGCACACTTTCGACGAAGTGTTTCAATTATTTGTAAGCATGCAGAAACAGAATCTTTAGTAAGCAGGTGCTTTCAATAACAGACATTAGCTATCTAGTTATCAATGTCGAGACAAACACCTGCTGTGGGCTAGGAAGTTCGCTGCATCAATGAGGATCTGGGAATTTTAATTTGGCCGTGATATGCAACATTGAACTGCCATTGCGGCATCCTTTGGAAGAATTGAATTTATTTAAAAGCTGAATGATCAGCCTGATATTTGTACATTCCAAATAGTGTATGGTTACTGAGTGCATAACCACACAAATCACGAATAAAATTACAGCATACTCAATTGAACAAAGAGGAATCTCTCGAGGCTAAATCTTCAATTAACAATTTGATCAGTTCATAAACACTATTCATACGTGCCTTATCAGTGCACTGTCATCGGCATTATAGTTATTTATGTCGTTCAACTCAACCCTATAATACAATTGTATCCGCTTATGGATTCTTGAAACACACAAATGGCTTCTATGCCTCTAGAAGTAATGAATATAGCAACTATGTGGTATAACGTAGTGTCGTGAAGCATGTGCTATTTCTGACGGCAGTACCGGTGTAAAGCAACTTAAGTTAGTTTAAACGAAAGTTTAAGGTTTTTCTTAACTGACATAGGGGTAAATATGCAAGTTAGACCTACTAAAATACTTTCCCGAATTCTAGTAAACAGTAGTACAATGAAAAGCTTTTTATGAGTGTTGTTACTCATTTTTTCATCGTTAAGAAACAACAAAAATTCAGTCATGGAAGACAAAATTTGAATTTAATCTATGAAACAATTGTAATGGCGGTCGCAAATTTCACATCAAACTGTTGTGTGTTGGAGAACGATGCGGATCGCCATGGCGCAGAAGGTGTCATACATAAGATTCAGCAGCCATGCATTAACTTGCTGGCACAGGCACCGCAGGAAATTATGTGAAAAGTTATTCAAACACTAGCCCCAAACGCTAACCACAGTTCCCTCTGCAAACAAAAAAAGAAGGAAATTTGTAACAGTTGGGACATCAAACCCCCTTACATATTATGTATGTTAAGCATACTTTCTTTTCATGAAATTAATGACAGCATACATCTCTGCTTCTATGCCACCATCTACAAGTATCTTATTTTACAGGCAGTATCTACAACTAAGTGGCAATTACGGTGTAATTTCCTGCTGTTTTCTACAGAAATAGTGGTCATTTATCAATATCAGTAATACAGGCGAGTGAAGCATGAGATGGTAGAACACATGAGCTCTCAGATACGAGTTCGAGACTATATCTACAGAGTAACCCGATCTGTAAACAATGGAAGGGGACATCCACGGCCATGCCTATGATCTATTCCGCATGTTATATTATAACTATATACATATCCTTATACCGAAGTTTGTGTAAGAAAGAACTGATGAATTGACGGTGGCAGCCATACGAACGCCGCTGTACAACAAAAATACAAAATTGCAAAATAGAGAAGGCTAAGCGCATTTGCTGCCGACGTTGAATGATGACCGAATTTACACTGACTGAACACATTTCTGATTAACAATCAACTTACCGTCGATCTTCAGAAGCAAACGAGATGCCAAGTACGGACCTAGTAAGTAAAAGAAATCTGCAGGTAATTTCTTTGCTGTCATGTCATTTTGCTAACAACGTGCCAGACAGTCATGAAAATATTTAATGTCAATCTAGTAGAGGTGGTCGTTAGTAACAAAACAAAAGGCAGAATAAGCTGTTCTCTTATATAACAGACTGCTTTAACATTATTATTCCTGGCCCCGATGTTTCGGCATTACAGTATCACATTTAGTCAAGACAAGTATCAGATATGTAATCAGCAGTAGTTCTGCCAACCCAAACCCACGTCCCATTAAGATGTCATAAATATTTTCATCCCGACGATCGGTTCTAAGGTTCCACGCCGGGGACACAATTAAACGGTTAGAACTTTCAAGAGAGAGAACTGAGTTCTTTCTCGATGATTGCTTTGTACTCCGGAAAACCGTCTTCAAGTCTTCGAACTGTGCGATGCTCGACCAACCAAAGTTCTTTGCAGACCATTTCAATTAGTCTCTGGTCGTGCGCAACAAGTATCACGCCACCCTGAAAAAACGCGTTTTAAGTCATAAAAAGTCAATCAATGCTAAATGTATTTATAAAATAAAATAATCGCTCTTTTGCAGCTGGTCAAGAATTACACAAGCCATAAGTTTCAAGACAGACAGTTCTAGCAAATGGATGCTTAAAAATGAACGAATATAGCGACTACTTCAAGCTCATAAACCGATTCATTGCTGACAATTGCTAACATCCTCAGGGTGATGCAAATAACCATAGCAATACAATGAAAGCCAATAATTCTACTACAGACAGTGAAGAAAACTTCATCTAAACTAAAGCCGTCTGCTTTTCTCGCATTTTCTTTATTACTGTTGCGTCAATCTGATGTGTTACCAGTTGTAAGAGATGAAGAGCATCGATGAGCAAAAAACACATTTCCTTCTGTACGCTTTTATTTCTGGATTCAAGCAACTCGGATTGGGTACGGAAAACTAATAAAAAATTTAATACTAATAAATCATTCATTCAATAAAAAACAAGATATGACACAGATTAATAATTCTGTTTTCCTCAGTGATCAACAGAAGAGGAAAAAATGTGGAAAGAACGGCAAATCCAAATAAGATCTTTTGTCACTGAATCTCCTTTATGATTAAAATTAGCGTATTGAAAAACGTTGTTTTTAGGTGACGTCTCATTTTTAACAATGACACTGAACCAGTATGAATTCTGGATGACAATATTACATCCAGTTAGCAACTGTAACCATACCTTTATAAAATAGTTAATCGAGCTAATGGTGCGTCTAGACTTAGAAACCTAACAGAGCATGTTTTTGCAGACAGAATTATTAAATAGCTGGGTGTCATAAACGTAAAGTAAATGTTAAGAAGTAACGATATGTATTTCGAGTGCTTCCTTCGCACAGAAACTGAAGGTCTAAATGCATTCAATAATTCGATTAGCACTACATCTTTTGATGCATGATGCCATTGTTCATCCACGACGTTGCGATTATGATAAAATGCGACCAAAAAATTTTTAATATTCCGTGAACCACCTTATTCCAATGTATTACAGAGATTTCCTCAAGACCATCTGGTGTTAAAGGTAATGAAAATTGGAATCTCGCGCTGAGTTCGCGAGGGTAATAATCAAATCGAAAAAAGCAGACATCCCGATGGCAGTATCACTGAACCTCTTCGCTCTTTAACTAGGTCTGAAAACGCAAATGTGTAGACAACAATTGGGATTTGCCAACATCAATTACTCCAATGCCAGTGTGAATACTTGAAACCCAAAACATGTTAGGTGATATTACTTTCACATGTTAGACGCACATTAATTATCACTTGAGAAACTTCAGTCTCATAGATAAGACAAAATGTTAGCTTGCCATTATACTAAGACTGTACACAGAAAACCGACATTCGAACAGTGGAATATTGTTATCGCCAGTCATACGATCGACATGGCTTTATTAAGAAAGGGAAGAAAGACAACTGTTTTTTATGCTAACCTTAATCACTGTTGCTCAGTGTCCGCTGCCATGTCCACTCCATTCCCATTTTTTAAGCACCTTATAACAAAACAGCGTCGTGAAAAGTGCAGTTTCTATCGAACGATGGTTTAAAGAGGAAGACTAGCTGGTGAATTTGAATTTGTAAGCTTGTTTGTCATATGCTGATGAATATGCTACTGAGAAAACCGACGACCATGGCGATCAGCCATTTCCGTTGAGCGCAAAGAACTATTGGAATGGATCTCCGCAACAGATAATGAAGCTCGCTTACTACTAATTATCACATTACACGCTACATGCTGTCACAGTACTTTGATAAACCTTGAATGGACCTTCGGTCGAAAAGTTCAATTTTCTTAACGTTAACTCCTCACTGCTTTGCTACCGTTTCGAGTCAACACCAGAGCAGAATAGTTTTGGACGCACAATTTGGTTGTTCAGGACTGAATTAGAGCTGATGACAAAGATCAAAAGGAACTCTGGTCTATTTCCCTTACTTCTACTGCACAATAAATTGGCTATAGCTGTACTGTTCACAGCATGTCCATAATTTGATGTTTTGCTTTGTTATCACTGCCGTTAATATATAATTTAGAAAGATATTAATGTTCTCTGACCCGCAGTAAAAAACAAGATACCTTGGCGATTCTGTTCAAGTATTAAACTCTTACTTTCACTTTGAACAGTCACTTTCAACTTTAGATACTGAGTTATGTTGGCATTTCTTTGTTAGGTACGGATTAAAACTTTTTTTACACTGTTGAGTTCTCTTCTGGTTATATACCTAGTTATGGATTTATTTATACTTAAACACGCAGTTGCGCAGCACAGCCGAGAGTTGTTAAATATTTGCATCCATCTTTGCTGAAAAGAATCTTTGGCAATCTAGCTCCAGCAGCAGAATTTCATTCGTTCACATGGTTGTTTAAGTAGATGTAAACTGATTTGTGTTTACAATTCGACAATGTCATGCAACGACAACTTCACAAGCACTGATTAGAGATTCAGTGACATTTTAAAGACGTACAAAATGGGACAAGAAAGAATACACTGCAGCGGTGTTTATGTTAATGTTATGAAGATGTGTCAGAGCGCCAAAATGTCGAGCGTCATCACCTGACAAGCGAAAGCTGCATCAGCGACCTTTTGCATGACAAATCAGCAAACAAATTTAGCTGTTAAAAACTTTAAAACCTACGAATACTAAAGCAAAGTTTCAGGGAAAGGGCTGTCATTCTGAACCTCACGTGTCTGACACTGAACTTTACATTCCGCTAACATACTAAGTTCGTTATCCAAACAAGGGGGAACGATAGAGGTAGCGATATCAACTGTGACAAATCCTACAAGTAATCTGACATCACGAGATGCAAAACTGTCATGAATCTTGCTCCTTAATGCACCTCCACGTGAATCACGGAACTTGCGCACTAGTTGATTTCGTATTGAGGCGCTTAACTTAGAATTTGCCTAGAAAATGTTAATTTAAAACAACGGTTTTGATTGATGAAAACTTTCCCTTTAACGGATGCACAATTTAAATGAATTTTTGCATATTTAATTTCGTTTTCGCTCAGACAATGAGAAATATTTGTCACGCTACCTAAGACACTTTGGAATTAAACCTGATACCTGAACTGATCGAAACGAATATCATTATCAAGCTAGCCTGACTAATTATTAGAACTTTACGTCTGCGTATGATACTGAGTGTGAGGATCGATGGCCTCTGTCACGTCATTACAAGGTCACCTCACGCCTGACCTATGTACCTGAAATTCCTTCAAGGCATTCCCGAGAGCTTCCACAGTTTCGATGTCCAGGTGATTTGTCGGCTCGTCGAGAACCAAAAAGTTTGGACTAAACATAACTGATTAAAATAAAGGTCAAAATACAATAAACTATAATACTTTGACATGGAAATCAGCGAAAATTCTAGCCTTGATTTCTGACCACCAGACAAGCTGTTGATCGATTGGAGTGCAAGATCGCCAGAAATGCCAAATCGCCCAAGAGCTGCTCGATAATCTTCCGCTTTCATGCCTAAACAAGATGTTGAATATACTATGCCCAACGAAATAGCGACTTCGTTCAAAAGCAGGTTTCAAAACGGATATTACAAAGAAAATGCAAAGAGTAGCATTTTAAATTGCTATAAGACAACATTCAAAAAAACATCTGCAATTTATAAAGCATATAGAGCAAAGTATAAAATAAATACTAAATTCTTCTAAGAGATTCGCAAAACACTAAAATAAGGACAAAGAGCGAATACAGTGAAAGTTGAACACGATCAAAGAGTTCCCCTTTAAATTCAACTAGACAGACTATAAAGAACAGTCGTTCACTGATGAATAAGAGAACATGCACTGCAGACATTATGTGACATTAAAATGTGAAATGTGATTCAAAAGAAAAGATTGAACATGAAACGAGGATCGCGAATTTTAGATAACAGAATCTTAAAAGGTTGTCTACGAATAGCGGCAGGCTTAGTCAGTGCTCGAACGCGTCGCTGTTTAGCCTAAGTTAATGATACACACCCGTAACTTTTGCACTGCCGATGCTCAGACGCCATGAAAAGGTGGCCTGCTTAAATGGTCAACTATGAGCAACAAAGCGGTGCCCTTATGTCTAAAAAAATTCGGTACCATAAAAGCAAATGTTAAGAATTGTAAAAAAATTGGAGATACCTGAAAATTTTATAGAAAGGTATCATTTCTGTCAACGACGACTTATCTTCTCTGAGGATTTTAAAGCCATAATCGGTAGATATACCATGGCTGTTGCCTACCCGACAGCCATGTAGATTGATTCACTGCTTCATATTCATATGGATGATAGGGCAGAAAATCGGAACAAATAGAAGGGGAGTGGGCAATGTCAGGCGGAATATTATCACAGGGTAAACTGTCAGTTAACTGCCATTTCTAGCAAGGCTTCGAATTTCTCGTAAGAATTCAGCACTTCCCATTTCGACCCAACTTAACAGACAGCAAATCGATGGCTAGAGAACAATACCAATAGTATGATGCTGTTTTGAAGTCATGTTTGAGGCTACGAGACTTATGGCAGTTCAATTCGGTAAGTTTTTACTAACCCGGAATTATGCTAAATAGACATGTAATGTAACCAGCAGATAAAACAAGAAAATGCAGAGCGTACTGAGTTGCTGCATCCTTACGTTCTCCGACCGCGTATTCGACTGTTTCATCAATCTGTTAACTCGCCCGTCTAGATTTCTCGCTTAGTCATTCTTTATACATCGGCACGAACATGCATTGTCGAAGGCAGTATATGCATTGTCATCATCGCTATGCTAGCATTATAACAAGTCAATCTTGATCGACTGTTGACAAATAGCTGAATAGTTTATATACTGTTTAATGAGCACCTTTCGGCCCCTCTTGGTCGTAATTCCTGCTGAAA